AGAACACATGTGGATGTATCAAAATAAAAATAGTGTCTCATTATACAAAAACATAAAAGCCATGTGAAAATAGATTTATGAAAACAAAAGAATAGGAAACATAAGAATCATGCAAAAAGTTTTTAAATGAAAACAAGTTAACCAAAGAAGTAGTAAATCAACCACAATCACATAAAAACATAAAACCAAACCATTATTGATTTTCAAGAATCAAGAGAGGCAACTATATCTAGCTCTTGAGCTAATATCAACCCATTTAAACATTTTAGCACCCGGTAAACAAGATTTGAGAATAAACACCCAATAAACCCAGGGGGTTATATAAATACAAACTTCTCATAAAAATCAAAGTTAATAAAATGAAAACAAAAGAATTGACTTAAGAAAAACATGTTTTCATTTTCAAAAATTTTAAAGCATATTTTTCAAAACCAAGAAAAAGGAAATAAAAATATTAAAAGATCTTGGTTTTAAAAGGATTTTGGTACCCAAGTATTCTTGGTGCCGGATTGTTTAGGGACATGACCCCTATCATTAAAGCTCAAAGCCCTTGGGTTATGAACCCATTTAGACGTATTTAGTATACTAATATGGTCATAACAATAATTTTGCAAATGACCCTTCCGATTGCAATATGTGCAATGAAAGAGATCTATTTGTTTTTGTGGACCATTAACTCGTGCACGAGAAATATTTAAAACATTTGCAAACATGGATGGTCTTTTTAAAATTATTTTGCAAATGCGAAACTCTCTTTAAATCAAAACAAAATTTGGTCAAATGACCAAATCTACCACAAACATCGCACTTAAATTTTTGTGGTCTAATAAAATCATTTGGCAAAGGTGAAGTCTTTTTCAAATCAAAGCAAAATTTTGCCAAATGGCCAAAACGACCACAAAGATAACATTTAAACACACGTGCATATTTATGATGAACATGATGAGTATGTGCATGTACATGTACATGTACATGTGATGAAGATGAAGCTTGATGGGATGCACAAGGGGAAATAATATGAGCTTTATTTGGTTTTTGTGCGTCATAGCAAAATTTAGCAATATGGCATTTTCAGCCACAAATAGAGCACTTATAAACTTTGTTATACAAGTATGCATAGTGTGTAGGTGATTTAGAAGTTATAGCACTAAATTTTGCACACTTGTCCATAAGTCTCTTATGATTATCAATACATGTGTTTAAAGTTGAATCTAAGCATGATATGCGGTTTTTCATAAGATTCAATTTATTATTGGTCACAACATCATTGATAATAGAAGTAGAGCATGTATGGTTATTCTTAAAATAATCAAATTCATTTCTAATGCATTCTACTTCTATCATGGCATCATTATTAGCATGAGTTAAGCTAGCAATAGATGAAGACATGTTATTATTTTCCAAACTTAATAACTCATTATTTTCTTTCAAAATAGCATTCTCTTTAACAACAATATCAAGTTTGGAAGCTAGCGACTCATGATCGGATTTAAGACTAACATGCTTGCTTTTAAGATCAATAAAATTATTTTGTAATTTCTTGTGGGCATATGTTAATCTTTCATATGCACAAAGCGAGTTCATAAATTAAAAGTTCACTTTCGGAATCAGAATCGCTTACCACACTAGGGTTATCCCCTAGTATACGTGTGCAAGATGATGATGCTCCAATAGAACTTGAAGAGGAAACCGCCAAAACTCGTCGGATCGCCTTCATGTTCCCTTGATGCGCTTCTATGAATTTTCATAATGTATAAGCGCTATCAAAAGAATCAAGCTTGTTAGACATATATGAATCAAAAGCATTTAATAAAAATTCTAAAACAAGCTTGTTCATAGTAAACATCTTTTTATCATTTTTACTCCACTTGGATTTCTCTAAAGTGGGCACAATATAACCACTATCAATAACTTCCCACAAATCAATATTTTTTAGATTCAACAAATATTTTAAATCTAAAACACCATTAAGCATAAGGGAAAGCATTGAATTTTGGAGCAACACTAGGATCATAGCCTAAACAAGATGCACCATACATATCCATAATTATAAAATGTGCAAGCAAGATATAAAAATCTTAAAATTAGATTAGCACAAAAAGATAACTTGAATCTTTAACTCAAGGTGATTAGACCTTAAATCAAAGAGTACCAAGCTCTGATACCAATTGTTGGACCCTAGAAGGGGGGGGGGTGATTAGGGTCTTATGCTAATCTAATCTGATTTTATGCCAATAAAAACTATTAGCAAGTTATCCTTGCAAGTATGAAATACAATAAGATATATGAGCTAGGATAATAAATATGAACAAAGAGATATATCCTAGCAAAGAGGTATATGGTAAAATATATGCAATGATATATAAACTAATACAAGGGTAAACAATCTAAACTAAAAATGCAATTGTGATATGATAATATAAACAATGCAAACACACAATATGATCACGGAGTTTGGACATTCTGTCCTACGTCTCTGCTCCCCACTCCCGGGAAGAAATCTACTATCACACTGGGTTTTTAACGATCACCCGAAAACGTTTATACCACACAATATCGATTTTCAACGCTCACCGATCAACGTTCATAATCTCATAATATAACTACAATAACTACCACCTCAAGTATTGGTCTCTAGCCCGTGTCTCCCTCAAGTGTTAGGAATTACAATCTCTCTAGGCATTACCACCTACCTCACTCCTCTTGGGACGATCCCGTCTCTCACCACACACTCCTCATAGTGTACTAGTGTATTACAAGGTGACCTACATAATTAAGCATAAATACAACAATGGTTGTTCTCTATAATGGATGAGAACACAATAAAATCTCACTCTCAATGTCACAAACCCCACAACCCAAAGTATACTATGTATGAAATATTATAAGCTCAATGGTTGTGTGTGTACAAAGAGAAATAAATCAAAACTAAACTCAAGCATAAAATATAGCTTAATAAAAATGATTAACAATTGAATATATAAATGTAAAGCTAGAATTGAGTTTAGAAACACTTCTCTAAGAACAAGAAGGAGAGATTAGAAGATTGAAAGCCCAAACCGAAATTGATCTCCTCTTGTGAAACCTTCTTCACACTTAAACAAACTTGAAAAGAAACTTAAACACACTTAAAAACTCTTAAACTTGAAAAGAGGTATATGGTGAAATATATTCAAGGATATATAAACTAACACAAAGGTAAACAATCTAAACTAAAAATACAATTGTGATAAGGCAATATAAACAATGCAAACACACAATATGATCACGGAGTTCGGACTTTCTGTCCTACGTCTCCGCTCCCCACTCCCGGGGAGAAATCCACTATCACACCGGATTTTCAACCCGAAAACATTTACACCACACAATATTGGTTTTCAACGCTCACCGATCAATGTTCACAATATCATAATGTAACTATACTAACTACCACCTCAAGTGTTGGTCTCTAGCTCGTGTCTCCCTCAAGTGTTAGGAATTATAACCTCTCTCTAGGCATTACCACCTACCCCACTCCTCTTGGGACGACCATGTTTCTCACTACACACTCCTCTTGGTGTACTAGTGTATTACAAGGTGATCTACACAATTAAGCACAAATACAACAATGGTTGTTCTCTACAATAGATGAGAACACAATGAAAGCTCACTCTCAATGTCACAAACCCCACAACCCAAGGTATATTATGTATGAAATACTATAAGCTCAATGGTTGTGTGTGTACAAAGAGAAATAAATCAAAACTAAACTCAAGCATGAAATCTATTTTAATAAAAATGATTAACAATCGAATATATAAATGTAAAGCTAGAATTGAGTTTAGAAACACTTCTCTAAGAACAAGAAGGAGAGATTGGAAGCCCAAACCAAAATTGATCTCCTCTTGTGAAAGCTTCCTCACACATAAAAAAACTTGAAAAGAAACTTAAACACACTTAAAAACTCTTAAACTTCTTTTAAAACTTTTCTCTTAGATGGTTTAGGAGTATAAGGTCATGGGGTATTTATAGGTTTATGAAATAACCCCAAAAACCAATAATAACCCAAGAAAAATAATAAAAAGACAAAATCTGAAAAACTAGCCATTATAGTCTAAAAAGAGGTCATCAGTCGACTGACTACAGTGCGTCGGTCGACTGATGATGTCGACAATTCCAGATTTGGCAGATTCTGGAATTTTAGGTATCTGATTTTATAAAATCAATTAAAAATAGTAAATTAACTCCAAAAATCATAAAATTTTGAGGGAAGTTTTTAAACATGTATATGAACATGTTAGAGAAAGAATTTTATGAATATAACTTCCCATTTAATACAAATAAATTATTTAGTAAACTAGTTAAAAACTAAAAATCTTGAAATAGTACAAAACTAGTCGTTATGAGCTTATCAGTCGACTGATCAGTCGACCAATGACCTCATCAGTCGACTAATTAGTCGACTAAAAAGAAACAGATACATTTTGATGATTCCATATGTTTTTATCAGTCGACTGAACACATGTATTAGTCGACTGATAATACTGTATCAACCTGATTTGAATAGTAAAAACCAACTTTGAAGTGCCTTAAAAAATAACAAATAAATTCCAAAAATATAAAACTTTAGAAAACCATTATAAACATGTAAATGAACATATTACAAAAAGAATTTTTGGAATTTCACTTCTCAATAGTGAAAACTTGTCATTTTACAAAAATGTTCAAAACATGCAAACTTAATATACTTGAAATATAATGTTTTGACATAAACCAAGTTTGAAACTTTGTAAAATAATTTTATAGACTTAATAAACTATGTATAAAGTGACATTGAATCCTATAAACTAATAAAACAATATTTTATTAAAAAACACCTATATTTTGATAAAATTAACAAATACGTGTGTGTGAATAATATGAGCTTAAAGTATTAACACACAAGTATAAACCTATACTACAAATACTATAAACTATATACCCAAACTTGAAGGTCTTCAATATAGCTTGACTTAGTAAACTTTCGGATGAAGCTTGAACTTAGATCTTCAACTTGAATAGAATTGCTTCAACCACTATTCCTCCAACCTCAATTGGATATGACCGTGAATGCGCAATTCCATCCATCTTCCAACATATTATTTACTTAGAATAAATACAAAAACACAAACACTAGACAAACAATATTAGTTGTAAATTATTTATTAAACATCATCAAAACAAAAAGGCCAACACACATGACTTTTGTTTACAATATGCACATTCTCTTCATCCAAATCACAAGGTTCCAAGTCATGCACAAATCATAAAGTTAAGTATGAAAATTTATGATGAATATAAAAGATCTTTTATTTGATTTATTTGCCACATCTTTCATAAGATTGAGCTTGACAATGGATAAATGGAAATCATCTCCACAAAATTTGGTATATTTGTGCATTACCGCTCACTATGTTGATGAATCTTGGAAACTTTAAAAACATACAATTGGTTTTATTAAAGTCCATAACTCCATGGGGAAGGATATATGCAATGTGTTAATCACTCATTTATTTGATTGGAAAATTGATAATAAAGTTTTGTCAATTATGGAAGATAATGATAAAGCGAATGATGTTGCTGTTAAAATTGGGAAAGAACATCTTAAAAAGTATCTAACTTGTGGTGGAGTCTTTTTCATGTGAGATGTGAAGCACATATTATAAATCTCATTGTTCAAGAGGTGCTTAAAATTATCACTAAAGCTATTGAAAAAGTAAGGATTAGTGTTAAATATGTACATGTTCACCGAAGATGGAAGAGAGCTTTTGTCATATTGCGAAGCAAGTTAATGTGGTTGGAGAAAAATGCTTAGCCCTTGATTGTTGCACAAGATGGAATTCTACTTATCTAATGTTGATGAATGCTTTAAAGTACAAAGTTTCTTTTCATAAATTTGAACTTAGCGATGACAAATACATTCATTGTTCATCGGAGGAAGAATGGAATTATATTGAAACTTTGAGTAAATGTTTGAAACATTTTTATGATGCAACTAATCCCCTCTCCGGTAGTATGTATCCTACTTGCAATCTTTTATTTGAAGGATTTTGTGAAATTCAATTGTTTCTAACGGAATGGTTGAAAAGTAAAGATGATATAATTGTGGCTACAGCTTTTGCAATGAAAAAAAGTTTGATAGATATTGGAGCATGCAATAAGATTTTTATGGTGGCTACTTTTCTTGATCCGATGTACAAAATGATTGCAATGAAATATTACTTTAAGGAGATTTATGGTGTGCATGGTAAAAGGTGTACACTTGAAATTTTAGATGTCATCAAAAAGATGCATGGAGAGTATGCATCTCTTGAAAAAAAAACCATCCAAAAATGATGAAAATGGTTCAAGCTCACAAGCAAAGGAAGTGGAAAGAGTTGGTCACAAAAGAAAATCTAGATTTACACAATTTGTTGAAACTATTGAGAAAGAGCCTATAAAGAAGGATTTGAATTTATATATGGAAGAGAGTATTGTCCGATGCGAAGATGAAACAATGGGAAAATTTGATATATTGGATTGGTGGAAATCAAGTCTTGGAAGGTATCCTATACTAGCAAAAAATGCAAGAGATGTTTTGGGTATACCGCATCAACCGTGGCTTCCGAGTCGGCTTTTAGCACTAGGGGCGTCTGATTCATTGTTATAGAAGTCGAACGACAATGGATACTGTAAAGGCATTGATATTTGTACAAGATTGGATTAAAGCGGAGAAAGGAGGTAAATTTATAAATTTTGCATAGATTCTATTATATTTGGTTAATTTTACATAAATGATTGCATGTTTTATTCTAATAATTTTTTATAGTTACAAAAGTGAAAAACTATGAATGATGATGCTCTTGATGTGGTTAAGCTTCCAGATCACGACGACTCAGAGATTGCCGAAACTTTTATAAAAGCACCCATAGGTATGTTATTTAACTTCATAAGCATATGATTTGAAATTTGAAAATTTTCACATATTTAACATGACAATTGATCTTTTTATTTTTTTTCAAGGTGGACATCATGGAGGTCCTTGACTTGGATGATGAGATTTATGTTTCTCTTGCATTAATGGGTATCATCTTTTGGTTTATATTTTCTTTTCAAGAACATGATTGTCTAAGTTTGCATGCTTTTTTGCATAGGGAACTACATTGTAGAACTTGTGGGTTTTTAATTTATTGTATGTGACTTTGCTCATGTTAAGTCTGTATGTGACTTTATTTCCAGATTTTTGACTTGTTATTTCTGGATTTGTGACTTGTTGTTTCTGAATTTGTGACTATTATTTTCAGATTATGACTTTATTATGTGCTTTTTTGTCAATAACATGTGACTTTATTGCTATGAGAATGATGCATGCTCTATTAATCAAAGAGAGAATGACTTCATATGGACATCAAATGGTTCATTTAAGATAAATTGTAGTTTGTGAGGTCAGTTATAGTTATTGATTATCACATTTTAGTTATGATATTTAATATTTTTTATTTTTTGTTTAGGGCCTGCTATGGTGTTCTGAGGTTTGTCATACAGAATAGAAACAAAGTTTATAAGATAACTTGTCTTACTTTGTGAGTTATTAAAATAATATGTATTTTATTTCATATCCTATTCATCTCTATTTCCCAACTATATGATTAGTATCTGTATCATATTCGTATCCGACTCTTTAATATTCAAACTATATCCGTTTCTATTTAATACAGATATGACAATGCTTTTTTCTTACCGATGAATATCTGAACTGTATTTGTATTCGTTTTTAGAAAGTGGTTATGTATATGGTAAGTATCATATCTGAACCGTATTTGAACTGAATGCACCCCTATATATAACATGATATAGGAATCTTGACCTTAACTTGCTTGAAAGTTTCTAGGATCTTTTCCTCCTAAGGGGAGTATTTCCTATGTCTGAATCTGTCTAGAAAGGGAGCAACTGGTTTAAACCTATCAGAATTAGGCTCAGGTTCGGGATCAGGTTCTTGGTCATCAGAAGGGGTGATTGTTGAATAAAGTTATCAGAAAGAGATAGAATTTGTTTAGATTTGAGAGTTTAACGTGGATGCATTCTAACTTGATTATCGACATGTTTCCCTAACCATAGTGAATGGATTACATTCACTTGAGCCTGCTAGGTTGAACTTGATCACGTGTCCTTAGTGTTGGCCACAAGTTGACTCAAATTTTTTTTTCTCTCTCACTCATAGTACTAGCTAGTTGACCAAGTTGGGTTTCTAACCTAGCTATGGCTTGGGTATTGGAATTGAAAATTTGTCCAGTTGATTACATGAATGAATTCAAAGTATTGGAAGTTTGAGTCAAAAAGTTGGTGGTATGTGTAAAAGCTTTAGTCATGGTCTCCAATCCCTTTTCTAGAATATTGAGACGTTTATCATGATCAGAACTTAGAGGTATGATGTATAGATTGATGGCGCAGAGACTGATTTGAATATGGCAGATTTGGTTGTTGAAAATTATTTTGGAAACTAAAAGGAACTGTGTTACCCTTAGTAACTTGCTGGGTTAAAATGAGAGTGAAGTTTTGATGTCCGGAGTAGCTTCCCTGATTCCATGCAAATTTTGAGTGATTTCTCTAACCTAGATTGTAGGTTGGAGAAAATAGGTCATTCACAGGATGCTGGAATGCAGCGTTTACCTGATCTAGTGGTTAATTGTTTTCTAAGAGAGGACATTCTTCTGAAACATGAGTTGGGAAAAGATAGTTGTGACAACCTGAAGTAGAAACTTGATTGACTTGAACTAGAGCTCGCTCCTTAATTTCTAATGCTTCTAACCTGCATAGGATTACAGCCATCTTTGCTTCAGAGGCTATGTTTGTCTCCAAGGAAAGACCACTAGGTTTGGGTTGGGGAACTGAAGAAACTCTGTTATCATAATATCGCCACTGCATAGTTTTTTGGATAAACTCTCAAAAAATTCACAAGCTTCATCGGTATTTTTCTTCATAAAATCCCCTTGACACATCAATTCTAAGAAAGTTTTTGAAGAATAACTCAATCCTTCATAGATGATTTGGCATAATCTCCATTTCTCAAGACCGTGGTGTAGACATTAGATAAGAAGATCCTTAAACCTGTCAAAATACTTCTAGAATGGCTCTCCCGAGCCTATCTTAAAGTTTGAAAGTTGTTTCTAAGCTTAACCATTTTGTGGATAGGGAAAATTTTCATTAGAAAAACGGTGATAAATTTATCCTAAGTTGAGATAGAATTTGTAAGTAAGATATACAACCATTTCTTGTCTTTGTCCTTAAGGGAAAATGTAATAAATCTAAGCTTAATCGCATCCTCAGATAGTTCTCTAACCTTAATCACAAGACAAACTTCCTCAAACTCAGAGATAAAAATGTAAGCGTCTTCTGTTTCATTTCCTAAGGATTTTGGAAGCATGTTTATATAATACGGTCTAAGCTCAAAATTAGTTCCATTGACCTCGAGAAGCTTAATACAAGATGGGATTGCATTCCTAGTTGGGTAACATGTATCTTGAAGAATAGGTGGATTAGCCATTTCAAAAGACGGTTAAACATGAATTAAACGATTGGTGATATCCTTAATCCAAATTTGCATACACCGAAATTCTTTATATAATTTTTTTCAAAAAAATTCTAAGAAAAATAAAAGTTAGTATTTTTGAGGAAAAAAACAAAAGATCTAAAAGATAATTAGAAGAAGGAGAAGGAAAAACTAACTAAAATAAGATAAAAAAATCACTTTGTGTCAATCATTTTAAATTCTAGGGTTAAGCCTAGACTCAACTAAACCAACTCCTAACCAAAAACTCCTTTAATGAAAAGATTAAAGTTGACTCGGTCAGTTAGCCAGATAAGGATGGTACTAGAGGAAGATCAAAGATTAATTAAGAACCCCGTTTCTTGCGGAGTGCTTTACGCAACCCCCTAAACCTTGCCTTAGACACCAACAGATTCAAGTAAACTTAGAGCCTGCTGCGACTCTGCCTGTCCAGCTCTCCGAGTACGAGGTCTACCACGTCCTGCCATCTCTCTGATCATAAGAAAAACAAGGGTTTATGAGTACAAATAGACATATGCGCATACATAGCATATCACAATATGATTTTCACAATAATTTAGTATTCACCCAAATACTTTAAGTTTACACAAAAATAGTTGTCATAAAAAAAATATCCTTAAATTTTAAGATATACGCATATATCGTCCTCACTCATACTAGGGAATCCTTACGGACTCTATACATGAATCCTAAGAAACTCTATCCTAGCTCCACGACTCGACACATGATTTTTCTAAGGATACTGGAACTAGAGCTCTGATACCAACTGTGACGCCCCTGGGTTCACACAAGGCTGCAATCCAAGGTGAAACCAATAATGTCAAACCTGTCATGCACCACACCGTGCAATAACATGTTTCACCATCACAATTACTATCTCTCTAGTAGAGTCAATAACAGGTGTAGGTACAAAAGTAAGTAAAAGATAACACAAGAGTCAACTGATGAAATAATAGAGATCAGATTAATATTTTATCATCTAACATACTAAAATACAAGTCAATATCTGAAATGAATAAACTGGAACTCCTCAACAAGTCTCAATCAATATCTGAAATGAATAAACTGGAACTCCTCAACAAGTCTCAAATACATAAAGTCTGAAAAAGAGGAAATAAGGCACAACTGGAACTCCTCAACAAGTCTCAAATACATAAAGTCTGAAAAAGAGGAAATAAGGCACACAGCTTTTATAACTTCTAGAACTAACTCTCAAAATGTCAAACAAAAGCCTACAGTGGAGCTCAAAAGTAAAATATAACTATAATAGAATATCTGAAGCTAGAGTGCCTCGCCATCAACCTGCGACTCTCCGGGCTCCTGGCTCGTTACCTGAAAGGAGGAGGGACAACGAGTATCAAAGCGCTAGCGAGCAACATCACAACCAACCCCAAGGAGAAATGACTCGTTGTATACAGAAAATACAGTTATAACATATATATAAAAACCCAAAATCTAATACAAGAACATTAATAGAAGAAGGCAAACTCATATCAGACTTAAATTACGGTGTGGTGTCACAACTCATATAAGGTCGTGTCCAGCCTATGCAAGTATATGTGTTAACTCTCAAGGTCTAAACTGATGTAGTGGATGTCCAACACATGGACTGCATATGTAAACTGTCCAACACATGGACTGAAAGTGATAAGCGTCCAACACATGGACTACACATCATAATTGCCCAACACATGGACTAGATGAGTTATATGAACAGGTGCATATACCCTAATTTCTCATGTGTCTCGGTGCGCAAACCTAAACTCGTGTCCGCATGTCATCTCACATATAAAGATACAGGTTATACATAAATTTCTAATACCCGTCATTCGAGGCGACTCCTCGTTCATATTTAAGCACGCAGCAACAATAAACATAAACAGATTTTAGTTAAACTGAAATAACTCAAACATATCCAAACTGAAAAAATACAAAAGAAGAAAACTCCTCATCAGTCGACTCATTGGTCGACTCATCAGTTGACTCATGAGTCAACCAGACAAAGCACACAAAAACTGAGATTTTTCCCATCAATCGACTCATTGGTCGACTCATCAGTCAACTCATATGTCGACTCATGAGTTGACTCATTGGTCGACTGAGCAGAAAATCCCCAGTTTTCTGTTTTCGACGATTTTCTGTAAACATTGATAAACTAAGGTTCTCTTGTTCATGTCCAGCAATAAATATCCAATTCTAACACATGTATATCAATAGAAACAAAAGATTTACATGTAATATTTTATATTAAAACCCTAAACATATTTATTCATGTTTAAAAGCGTATTGAAACCATTAAATCACAATAAAACCCATGTTTAAACAAATTCCAGATCTGGGTTTAAATTTACAAATTCATTGTTGAGCTTTTATAAACTGAAAACATTCGATTTTCACATCATATGCTATGAAGATCTATTTTTATACACAAATAGTGATTTAGGCTCAATAAACCGAAATAAAACCAAATAAAAACATACAAACAGTGGGTATAGGATTGGGCGAGATGTTACTCGCCTCTGATGTGCTGTAAACTCCTGAATCCAACCCGAACAAAACCCAACCAAACCCGCAACTAAAAGAAAACCCAAAATCAGCCCGTCAGTCGACTCATAGGTTGACTCATCAGTCGACTCATGAGTCGACTCATCAGTCGACTGAGCAGACACTAAATCCAAATTTTGTGCATGTTTTGCTATTCAACCAAAA